TGCCTGCATATGGTGGGACCACAAATGAGGATATGTGTACTTGGGGTACCAAAAACACAGATTTTCTGCACCCAAGGTTTGCATGAAGGCTGGAAGGATCGCAAAACAGTATGGGTAAGGAGGTGAAGTCTGCCATCTTTGATTGAAAATTTTTGGAGGCATTGCGCAGTTTAGAATGGCCCCATAACTCGGTTTACTTTTCTCAGAATCTATGGAATCATTCCTGCTCAGAATGTGAGACCTATAGCTAGACGTAATAAATATCGCCAAAAGAGTAATTCTATGTACCAATGCAGTGCTCCTGTAGGGCTTTGAAGCACTGACATTCTTCAGATTCCTTCCTTTATGAACAAGGTAGTCGATATTTATAGAGATTGAAGCAATAAAGAATGGGATTAACAGTGTTTGAACAACCTGAGCACAGTGTTTTTTATAGATCATCCTCTTCATCCCACTGGAATGGTACTGCAATTATAGATGGCAAAAGTCACATATTTTGGCCTGGCTGGCTTAATGTTCATGGAAAAGTAAACACACAAGAACTATACTTAAAAAGAGCTACAATATAACCACATGTTTTTTTAACATCTTTGATCAGCTCTAACACACCTGCTGAAAAATATTGGCCTCCTTCGAAGCTTGTGTATTTATATGATAACCTTGTTGTTGCAAAATCCACAGCATGCTTAAGTTAACTACCTTCTTGGTAAAGGCCTGTTATTAAGTCTGCAGGGAGAAGGTAAATACTTGGTACCTAAAACATAGTCCTGGTCTGGGCTTTCCAAGAATACTCAGTCTACGTGTACTTGATTTTTCCACATCATTTTGCATGAGGATTGAGCCGGGTATCATATATGCAGCATTGCTGCTTAATTAAACAGGAGAGCTGTAAGGAGGACCTGTGGCTCGGTCCCCGTGGACAGGTGTGTTGCTGAATATTTGATGCGAGGTAATCCCTGTACAAAGACCGCGCCTTCTCCCCATCTGCTTGTGGTATTCCCCCCAGCCAGCACCTTTCTTAAAGGATTGTAGCTCTTTGTATCCCATCACGTTTACAGGGTATTACAAGATCAGAAGTGTCGACGGACTTCGCAGCTCCTCTACGTCAAACCAGTCACGCATGCAGTTCCAGCCTGATAGGCTTTTATTTTGCCTGCAGGCCTTGGGGAAGTACACACTGTAATCAGCTTTTAGACCAGGCAGCAGAAGCAAATTTACTACAGTTAGCTGCAAAGACGGAGAGCGTCACGCAGAGTTCGATGTGTTTTGTTGATAATGTTGTGCCGTGCATATGGAAAGAGAGTGTAGAAAGGTGCAGAACTCGTTATGATATTACTGTAATTCTTTCCTATTTATTCATGACCTGTACTTAGCTTGTAAGAGCATAAAGGGACAATAAAGGTCTTTTATTCATATCATTATGATGCCTTCTTATTTGAATGTAAAAGCTGTATTGTTTGCTGAAAAAGATCATGTTATGTACTAGTAAGACAGTTAAAATAGCCATTTAAATTTTTAATGATGATGAACATTTTGCTATAGGTACTGTAACTTTGCTGTTTTTTATACAGAAATTTCCTTGGCTGACTGAAAGATTTAGAGATCGGCTCATTACAACTCCCCTGCTAGGGTTGACAGGTTTTAATGCTTGTTACTCCAAAGCTTTAACATGCAATGGGTCACAGGTGCCACAGATTTCATGTTTCAGCAAGCATACTTGTCTGACATCCCAAAGATACAACAATTGTCCTTTCAATCTCCAAGACTTTTTTGCATTCCAAATTAAAATGTAAATTTGAATAATTATAGTTAGTGTAATAATAGTGATAAAAATAACAACAAGAACGATAATGATGATATTATTCAATTTCTCCTAGTCTCCTCCAGAAGAATTTATTGCCTCTAAAATCTAGGCAGATTGCACGATGTTATGCATCCTGAAAAAAGTTGACAGCAGTAGTTGTTTGTGTGCAAGAATATTTGCATACAATGTATATATTATGTTTTATGTAGTCATGGGAAGTTTCCGATATTATTAAAACTGTCATGAGTCAAGAAAATAACACTGTACTGTGCTCCAATTCTAATCAAGTCAGATTAAAATTTGTCAACACTTACTGGCCCACTGGGAGCTATTGAAGTGCACTACCCATGATGCAAAGCGGGGTTCCATCAGATATTGATCGCCGGTTGATAGGACGCAACATGTTCCAGATCTGTCATCCATGTCAAGTGGCAATTACAGCTCTCATATCAACCAATTTGGAGCAATTTCCTCCTCTTCTAAGGACTATCTGTTTCCTTCCACTTCTTCACATTTTTTTTTATGCAAGGCAAATTTTTTGATTAGGACACAGGGATATTTTCCCATTAGCCCTCTTGGTCTGCTAATCCAAAAATCGAACAGATGGGTTGATGGGATGAAGACTCTTGATAATTTTTTGATAAATCTAGTAAAAGATGGGCCTAACTTTATTACATGTGATGATGCATGTTGAGGATGAATAAGTGTCATCAAAGTGGTGAAGGGACAGGAAGCACCATTAACAGATTTAAGGACTTTGGAAACATTCTTGCCAGACTTATTAAGAAGTACATGCACATGATTTTAAATTTTTCAAGAAATACAGTTTGACCCTAAATGGAATTTATCGGCTCGTTTTTTCCAAATTTTTAGAAACAACCAACAAGACTTTAATTTTTGTTAAATACCTGTACTTTCTGTATAGTACAATCTTCTCTCTAGCTTTTTTTCAAGTGGCTAGTGTGATAATGGACAAAGTCTATTTTTTTACCCAGTTATATATATATTTTGTAAAAAAAAAACGCATTTTGTGTGAATGATTTTTATTTGACTCTTGGTAAATCTTCAAGCACAGCGCTTTGCCAACATTAGACTACCAAATATAAACAGTGCCAGTAAAATTCCCCCTTGAGAATATGTCTTTTATTGTCTGTCAAGTAAAGGTATTATATTACACTTTATAATAACTCCTTTCACCCACTCCAGCGTTGTCAGATTTCCATTTCCCTTATCTTAATTCTAAATCTCTCTCAGTTTACAACCAGAGATCTCCGTACTTCCTGTCATAATTTCCTTTCGGTATAGAACAATTTTGTTGCTTAGTTTTACTTTTACATTCCGTAAAGGTCGCCAGGCATAGCTGTACAGTATGTTCAGTACGCTGGTAAATCAATGAAGTACACTTCTAAGTAGATTACATAGCCCTCCCTTACAATGTAAAATGTACGGTCCCCGTGTACTCTATATGGTTATTGCAGTGGTTCTCCTTATCACAGTTACAGCAAATAGAGATAAGGGCCTTCATAAGTATATTGGACAAAGATTCTTTGAGCGGCCAACATTATTCATCTAAAAATACAGCAAGCACTTATGCAAGGAATCAGCCAGCGATCCTTGTAGCCCTCTGGCTATGCATCAAGAATAACAACATTATCTTAAGTCAAAACACGCAGAACTTTCTGAATGTAATGGCCATTTTAAGAACAGGTTTTCTTATCCTAAAAATATACTATATATTAGGAGACTTTGGCACAGTTGCCACTATCATTTTTAATAGTTCATAGCAGGTGACGTGCATATTATTAGAAGCCAGTCCAAACTGGCCAAGGATGTAGCTAACGTAAAATCCTTCCTCTCCTTCAAAGTTCCACAATAAATTATGGCATGCATTCTTTATCTGCTGGCGCAAAGTTGTGGCTCTCTTGCCTTGTTATGTAGCACTCTACATTGACTTTGTTTATATAAAGTGTACATTCATGATTGAGATATCCCCTATCACACCCTTAACCGGAGGAATCCACTGTCGCTGCCAACTGTACATGTATGTAAAATATTTTGCCGGGATGCTGAGAGTATTGATTGGAGGTTACTGCTATACGTGGGGACCCAGCCGGGAAGTAGGTAATCTAGATTAATGTGTTCAAGAAATGTAACCAATTGTGGATATTCTTCATCCTTGCCTTTCAGTAATAATATTAGCAAAGAAAGTGCCAAGATTCCACAAGTAGTGCAGTCTGGAGTTAGCAGCATCCAATTTCAGCAATTGGTCTGATAGGGCGTGTTCTCTAATGGTATTTCAATGTTGCAGCCTTGACGCGAAGGCATGCATTTATGAGCAGCCGGTCATGAAGCTGACAATGGGCCATATTAAATATTGAAAAGTAATCTATTTGTTACGTTTAGTTTAGTTTTCATGGTACACTGGCATTTTCCTGTCCCTGTCTTTGTCTGGACCTTATTGTACCCTTGTGAGAGGAACATAATGGTAATGTATACACCATGTCTCTCTGGGCAGGACAAAAACCATTGTCTGTACTTCAAAGGCCTGCTGTGGCGTAGCGAATGACAAATGGCCGTGCTTTGGGCATCCCCGCAGCTTGTAATAGCATCTGTAGTAGTTGGTGTGCAATGACCAGTGATGGGCCACTGCCCACTATCAAATTTTCAGGGCAGCTCCATTGGCTATCGAGGTGATTTCTTCTTTTGGTGCAGGCATGTGGAAAATGTGCTGAAAGGCTTGATCATGAATTAGTAGTGTTAGGGAGGGAATGTGATCCGTGTTAAGTCCCCTCTCAGGTGGACTGATCCCGGGGACTTAATTCGCATATGGCAGCCTCTCTGTCAGACATGATATAATTAAACTAATTAGGGACGATGGGGAATTGCTACTGGTGTGGAAAATAATGCATGAAGTGCCCTCTTCTGGATAGGGGACCAATGCTCCCGAGGACTTGATGCGACAGTAAACCTGTCCCCCCTTGCAAATGACAAAAATCAATACATAATAAAGTCCCTAATTGAATAAATATATTGGCGTTAGCTCTGAGACCCTAATGGGCATGCACGTCAGAAAGCCAGGCATTTGCAGGGGTGGCTTTATGAATGACAGTGCGCAGCCCGGTAATCCCCCAGAGTTGTGGAGCGAACCACGTCACTTCCTGATGCGAGGTGATCCCCACATGCATGCCAGCGCGCGCGTGTGTGTGTTGGCTAGGGATCCGGGCTGATTAGAATGAGTGGGGCCCCCGGCTTAATAGCACTGGGCGTGACAGTATTAAGAAATCCTCAGTTGGCTATTGTGTGAGATCAATTGAAATTACGCGTGCAGTCGGAGCAGGAGCCATTTCGGCGTGGTGGCTTGCCGGCACCCATTTCCTCCTGCCTGTTGGACTGTTATCGCCACTATGAGGGCTGCTGATGGATGAATGATTTCCCGACAGAGGAGCTTCAGTTTATTGTGAAGTGTGCGGCTTCGGCTGGTGTGATTTAGAGGATACGATGGTGGCAACGAAGACAGCTGCACCGGCAGCCGTGCTCCTCGTTCTCCTGGCCTTGCACGGAGCCGGCGGCTGCCCCAAGCAGTGCAAGTGTGATGCGAAGACGCAAGAAGTCGCGTGCACGGGAAAGGGGTTGACGGAGATTCCGTTTGGATTACCTGTGGATTCCAAGAGGCTGCTCATCACGGACAACAGCATCGCAGAAGTGACCGGGAGGCAGCTGAGCAAGCTCTCCCTGCTGGAGTGCCTCAGGCTCTCGAACAACAAAATCTCAAAGATCCATTCGGGAGCCTTCAAGAAGCTGGTCAGGCTACGATCCCTCCTCCTTGCAGGTAACAATCTGACCATGATATACAAAAATACTTTTGATGGCCTGGACAATTTGACTGAGTTAGATTTGAACAGTAACAACTTGCTTTTGCTCCAGGAGAACATTTTCAGTAATTTGCCCAGCCTAAAGACTCTTAAGCTTGGGGACAATCCGCTCATTTTTGTCCAAGAAAAGGCCTTCAAGGGCCTGCCAGGTCTGAAAGAGTTTGTGATGAAGAATACCAACGTTACCATTATGCCATACACCGCTATTCGGTCACTATCAGGCCTGGTGACTTTAAGGTTATCGCAGGATAACTTTGACACAATACAAGACAGGCCCTTCAAAGGTATGACAAAATTGAGAGAGCTGTACCTAACCGACTGGAAGAAGCTTACTAGTCTTGGTGATGATGTGTTTCGTGGCCTGAACTTAGAAGTACTATCCCTAAAAAGGGCACAGCTAACTACAGTGCCAGTGAAGGCTCTGAGACGTTTGAGGCATTTAACAAAGCTAGTTCTAACTGGCCTCCCCATCAAAAGACTGATGAGGAATTCATTCAAAAAATTGCCAAAATTAGTAGAGCTGTACGTAAATGACATGGGACTCATTTCTGTTAGTGCCAGTGCCTTTTATGGTCTGAAGAAGCTGAAAATCTTGGACCTGTCCAAAAATCATTTGACTACTCTTTACCGCGACTGCTTTGGCCCGAGTGCGGTACCCAGCTTGCAGGTGTTCAACCTAGCAGAAAACCCCTGGAATTGCAACTGTGAATTGCAGTGGTTGATGGAAGTCTTACGGACCATCCCCGAGAGTGGAAACTCTGTGTACTGCGAAGAGCCCCCAAATCCCGACGACCCAGCAATCCTTATCCCCTTGCGGAATATGACAGCGCAAATTGCCGCCCAGTCATGCAAGCCACCCACCGTCTCTGTCAGATTCGGGGACCCCGACGCAAACGAAACAGTGAAGGTGGGGGCCACTGTAGTTATCCATTGTAACGCTACAGGGGATCCGGCCCCAATCATAGAGTGGGGTGGGCCGTGGGGAAACGGTCGCCTGACCATCTCCACTCACAACGAATACGAGGAAAAAAACCACTACCTGGCACTTAACCCTGACGCCCTGGTTGTCAGAGAAGTGAAAGGCAAAGACAGCGGGAATTATACCTGTTATGCAAGGAATGGGGCAGGGACGGCACAGGCAATCATACAGTTACGTGTTCAGGGTAAGATGAAGAACCCCGACCCGGAGCAGCGAGTAGGGCGGAACGGAAACAATCCCTTCACAAACTCGACCCTTCAGAGCAACCAATCCGACTACCCGGCTACATTCGACCAACTCTTTCCCATCCTTCTGGGCAGCATTTTAATGGGGAGTGGCACGTTCTTGGCAGTAGTCATTCTGTGTTTGATAGTGTTCCTCATCTTGAGCAAGGCAAAGAAGCCCAGGGGACCTGATCTTGGGGATGAGTACGTAGCGGCTTCTCACGATTCAGGTGGCGCGGGAGGTGGGAAAGGAAGAAAACTAAGGACCAAGATTTAATCTGTGCCACCGTTCACATCCTCCCACCCGCTGTTACGACACGTCCTGCGAAACTTATTGTTGGCGATGTTGGAAAGGGTGGGTGAACTCCATTACCTGCTTGCTGAGTTTATGAGCAAAATGAAGAACTGCATACCATAGCTGAAGGGCAGAGGATCCTTCGCAGCACTATCATGAGGGTTGGTAAGTCCATGATTTACGGTAGAGAAAGAATGGGGTGCAGACATGGAGCACTTTGGTGCTTTCATTCGGCCCTGGGGAGCAATTTCTTGGGTGTTGGCAATTTTTAAGCTGCAATTAGTGGGGAGGAGACTGAATCCCCTGGACAGCATAAGAGTCTACTGTGTCGTAAGCCTGGCCACCTCGCCGTTAAAAGAGGCAAATGTACCGTGTGGCCTCGTTGGTGTGTGTTTGTTCCTCCTAACGTGGCAATGGGGTCAGCCAAAGTGACCACAGTAATGAATTTTCGGAACTGTTGCTCTCTCCACCTGTTCACATCAGTGACGTCCGACTTTGATTGGTGATGCTCAAAACGTAAGCTGATGAACTGGGACCGGATTACATGCATGTAACCCGGCCCTATCTAGCCAAAAGCCAAACTGACTAAAGCTCTGCCTTTTACAACCCAAGCAGTGATGCCCAGTCTAATCTGTTGAGCTGCACGTTCACTTATTCTACAGGTTGTTTTTGCCATAAACACTTAAATGTACACACATTTCATGCAGGCCCGCCAGTTCGGGTCATTCCCCGATGATTAGAAAGGCTGCATTGACGACATAGTAGGCCCTGCCCTGCAGGCACAGTAAGGAGAAAGTGTATCAAAATCGAGCTGACAATTCCTCGGAGGGAGATACGAAGTCCATTTTAGGCCCGGCCTGTAAATAGTGTAAGATGAGCCCTGGTCGTTTGGCAGAACAGGAAGACCGTCACGCTGCAAAATAGGGTGTGGCAGCTGCTATGGGAAATGCCAGAGAAACACAGTTGATGAATTTGCATCAAGGAATATTTTTATCTCGCTGAGGCTCTCCAGAGTGGTGCGTGTCAGTAGTTATGGTGTGGGTAGTGGAGCGGGATGATATGTATCACTGCTTTTATCTCTTATCAGCAGTGGGATAATTGTGAAGAAACATGGCAGATTTTGCCAGGAGTACGTGTATTTGGCAGTGTCTGGTGGGACTCTGCATGTAATTTGTCTTCTCCTTTCAAACCGTTCATGCAACAAGGATACCATCAGTGCATCTGAGGCCGCAACGTATAAATATAGCTTTCATAGCACATATTCACAGTTTTTATTTTCAGAGAGGCGCACCCAGTACCGTAGTAATTGTTAAATGATAACACACAGGCTATGTATGTTTTTCTGATTTTCACTCATTGATATCAGTCTGAGACTGTATTCCATTCCTGATTCGATCTGCTATACAACTCCACACTCTCTGGCTCCGGTACAACATCAGAGAAAAATCCAATAAACGTAGCCATCAAATCAGGTCATTTTTCCTCGGCAGCATGCGTAGGCATGCGCCCGTGAAAATATGGAACCGGGTATAAAAGGGTTTGGCTCATATATAAATAGCCTTGAGCTCAAGGAGGGGGAATATATGACGAATCATATATTTTCTTTTGCTTTTGTTCTGATATCATACCTGTAGCATTAGCACAGTAAGAAGGGATTAATTCAGACTACATTTCCAGTGCAAGACAGGTGTATGTACATGTACACTGTAATGTATTAGAGCTCTTTGATAATGAGATCTTATGGATTATTACAAGCTCCTATAGGCATCATGGTTTAAGGATTCTGTACGGACGTTTACATGATGAATGATCCAATAATATGGATTCAGGCCTGCTTTTGATTATTGGATACATCCGCAGGATTTTTGACGATGCTCAGTGTTTCATTTTAAGAGGATTTATGGCATAAACCAAGGCTGTATCTCAGAACTGCATGGTATTAAGGAATGCTTAAGAAGTCTTATACTAAATGTGTTTATTGATAAACCTCCATTATCACCACCCTTTGGAATGATAAATGTTATGCTAATACCATGTATGTCTGTAACAGATTTGCAATCAACTTTGTAAATAATGTCTTCCCTGGAAATCCTCCTGTTTTAGGGAAAATTTGTTTCCCAAGAAAAATTACATCACCCAGCGCAGTCCTATTACAGAAGGGTTTGATGAATTGATGTGTTTTCGGTGCAGATCCATTTTAAGGTGCCATTGGTGGAAATGCCATTGGGCTGTCCATTCTTTGAGCAATATAAATGAGGAACAGATTTTCAGTCTTACTGGGTGGGGTTAGGAAAGGCCATAGGCAATACCAAAGAGAAGAAAACTGATAACGTTTAGATCCCTTCAGCTAACATCTTTCAGTGCGGTTAAATTCGTCCCTGGGAAAGATCTATCAAGCAGTTACCACAGACTGCGCTGTACGTGTTTTATATCATCAGGTCAGGTCTATTTCTCAGGTCATTATGCAACAAGGTAATTCCTCAGTTCCCCAACAGACGGGATTTAATTACCGCTCAGCAAAATGGTCTCTGACAGGCCAGAACCAGAATTGCTTTGTTAGGCCCTCCGCCTGGCATATTAAGCTTCTCATGTGTGTCCTGCACATAAATTTCCCCGCCAGGCTTCTCTCACTGCCGGGGAAATCCCCACGTTGATTGTGGAGACGGGTCAAACTAATTTCTGAGTTCGTTTTCCGGGAATTGTTTCCAACAGGTGGGAACCAGCGACAGTTTTTGTATAAACCGTCGGTCCACCCGACACCTTGCAATTAGACATGACTTCCCCGGCTTTTATGCAGGTCAAGTCAATTTTTGTGGCCATTATGAAACAAGGGCATCCTTTCTTTGGAACAAATGGAAGTGATGATATATCATTAGGGGCCCTGGCGGGTGGTGTGTTCATGGTTTAATCTGGTCTTATTCAGCCTGTGTAACTACCAATTTTGCGTTGAAATGAAGCTGGCTACAGAGAGGAGGAACCCATAGATTATCATTAGAGAAGCATTATTTACACACTCTCTCATGAACAAATTTTCCAGTATTTCTCCGGTGAAAATACAGCACTGAGAACAACAGTTATTTGCTATTTTCAATGTGGCAGCAAAAATACTAAACCTAAACAAACGATCACGTTCTACATGTTGACATGTACAAAAGGAGGCTAGAAACAGGTGGCTAGATTTACCGTGTTGCACACTGTATTGATTTTCGCAGCGGGGTATGAAGACGGATGTTTGAGGGTTATCTTTACACTGTACAAGGCCTGTGCAACATGTAATGGCAAAGGTTCCTAAGTCTTAAATCAAGCCAAAGTAGGAGTGTTTGCTAATCCCTATCTCAGGGTGGTTTATCAGTGCTCTGTATCTCCGCTCTTCATTATGGAGTATCGGGTAATTGTGCTACTGAGCAGATAAGTCAACTACTTGGCATTGCTCACCACCCATCAAGAGATGGTATCAGCCTGGAATGATGAAAACCAGTTACTCGCAACAGAAAGATAATGATAAGAGTCTGGTCCTTGTAGCTACATAGTCCAGCAGCTAGAGTCTAGACGGCAGGTTTCAAAATCCTACATGTTTGGCATGAAAATGTTGGGAAAGTGGACATAGTTTTAATGATCTCTTTCAAGAGCATTTTGGCTTGTCCAGTAGTGAATACCAATTGAAGAAATAATGTAAAACTTTAAAAGCACACATGTCCAGCATTTTTTTTTACAGAAATTGGGTGTAACAACATTAGACTCACAAGGTCATTATCTGTATCTGTATAGGCAGTGTAACCACTCCTTGGCATAACACATCATCATCATCATCATGGTTGCTGCATATCAGTAGCTACGTGTGCTGAGGCAGGCCATCTACACACATGCCTCAAGGCCAAATTGGAAGTGGAATTGCACTCTGTATCTGTATCGGTATAGCTGGTATAACTGCCCTTCGGCGTAACACACCAGCTTTGTAGGCACGCAGCGTGGCAGTACCTAGCTTTGCACGTTTAATTGCAGGAGATGTTTAAAAAAGCTTTGTAGCTTTCTCTCAACACAAGCTCATGTACCTTGTTTCCATTGTCCCATCTGTGAGATAACAAGTCTGAAGGCATAACAGGCGGTAGTGCATGTCAAAGATGTGATCTCTAAACCAGATCTTGCAGGAACATTTTGGTGCATTCAGTAATGAATACCAGTGGAAGAAAAACTGCAAAACCCTTGATGGTACAGAAGAATTTTTACAATTGTCCCATCTTTAACTTAAGATAACAAGTCTGAAGGCATAACTATAGGCGCTAGTGCATGTCAAAGATGTCATCTCTGAACCAGATCTTGCAGGAACATTTTTCTGCATTCAGTAATGACAACCAGGAGAAGAAAAAGGTACAGAAGAATTTTTACAATTGTCCCATCTGTGAGATAACGAGTCTGAAGGTATAACAGGCGCTAGTGCATGTCAAAGATGTCATCTCTGAACCAGATCTTGGAGAGGTTATTAGCACATTACCCAGCTGAGTAGGTTCCCAGGAGTCTCCCATGATCTGATCCTGAATATTTCATGGGCGTCTTGCCCGGAAGGTCAATTAGCCGTTTGTCTGAGCCAGTGTTGAAGACCTTTGACACCCACAAAAGATGGACAAGCCAGCTTCCTAATTGTTGCATATCAGAGCCGGCTACAAATCTTCACAGCTTGGTTGCACTTAAGACCCTGGTCAACTGCCACATTATTGTACTGTTTGTCTTATATGCTGAGGCTGCAAGCAGGAACAGCTTTGCCCGAAATTCACCTGAAACTCTTATGGACCAGTGTGCACCTGTCTGACCAATGCAGTGTTAACTAGAAAGGCCAATATTTGCTTTGGAGCAAATACAGCGATGGGTTCACCACATTTTACGACATGGCAGGGAAAGAATGGGAAACACAAGGGAAAACAATGATTTACATTGATATAACTATAATATGAAGTAAAATACAACTAAAACAACAGTTGGATAGCTATTCCCTACTTTATTGGTTAGGATTTTTAATTGCATAATGCAAACTGTTGATTTTCAAAATAAAAAAAAACCGTCCATGCCCGGCATTCCAATGCTGGAGCAGGAAAGCTTGAAATACCTACCAAAACACTTGAATACAGACATACTGTCAGTATGGAAATGCTTCTGTGCAGGTGTTAATCAAGTTAAATCCCAACAGCCAATCAGCAAGAAGTATAGAGGAAAGCTGCATGCCTATTGGTTGATGCCCTGC